GAAAAACTAAGAAACTAAAAATCCGGATTCTGTGAGAACTTAACCACACACATTCAAACTGCTTAGAGTCATAGAGATGTATAAGATGGAAACAGACCTCTTCGGTCCAACAGGTCCGTGCTGACCAGATATCCTAAATTGATCTGGTCCCATTTGCCAGCATTTGGCCCTTATCCCTCTAAACCCTTCCTATTCAAAACCCATCCAGATGCTTTTTAAATGTTGTAATTGTACCAGAGTCTCCCATTTCCTCTGGTAGCCCATTCCATACGTACATCACCCTCTGCATGAAAAAGCTGCCCCTTAGGTCCCTTCAAAATCTTTCTCACAAGAACACAAGAACACAAGAACTAGGAGCAGGAGTAGGCCGTCCGGCCCTTCGAGCCTGCTCCGCCATTCAATAAGATCTTGGCTGATCCTTTTTTGGACTCAGATCCACTTACCCGCGTTCTCACCGTATCCCTTAATTCCTTTATTGTTCAAAAAAAAATCTACCTTTTTTTTAAAAGCGTTTACTGAAGTAGCGTCAACTACTTCACTGGGCAAGGAATTCCATAGATTAACAACCCTCTGGGTGAAGAAATTCCTTCTCAGTTCAGTCCTAAATCTGCTGTCTCTAATCTTGAGGCTATGCCCTCTTGTCCTAGCTTCACCTGCTAGTGGAAACATCCTCTCTACTTCTATCTTATCTATTCCCTTCATAATTTTATATGTTTCTATAAGATCCCCCCTCAATCTTCTGAATTCCAATGAATATAATCCCAATCTACTCAGTCTCTCCTCATAAGCCAACCCCCTCAACTCTGGAATCAACCTAGTGAACCTCCTTTGCAACCCCTCTAGTGCCAATACATCCTTTCTCAAGTAAGGAGACCAAAACTGCACACAGTACTCCAGTGCCTCGCCAGCACCTTGTACAGCTGCAACATAACCTCTCTGCTTTTAATTTCAATCCCTTTAGCAATGAAGGACAAAATTCCATTTGCCTTCCTAATTACTTACCTTCAACCAATGCCCTTTAATTTTAGACTCCCTTAACTTGGGAAGGACCTTGATTATTCACCCTATCCATGCCCCTCACGATTTTATAGACATCTATAATATCACTGTTCAGCCTCTGAATCTCCAGGGAAAATAGCCCCTGCCTACTTGGCCTCTCCTTAGAACGCGAATTCTCCAACCCTGGCAACATCCTTGTAAATCTTTTCGGAACCCTTTCATGTATCACAACATATTCCCTATAGCAAGGAGACCAGGCCTGAACACAGTATTCCAAAAGTGGCCTAACCAATGTCCTCTACAGCTGCAACATGACCTCCCAACTCTTATATTCAATGCACTGACAAATCAAGGCAAGCATGCCAAATGCCTTCTTCCTTAACCTGTTTATCTGGAACTCCACTTTCAAGGAAAAATGAACCTGCACTCCGAGGTCTCTTTGTTCAGCAACACTCCCAAGGACCTTAAGAGTTTAAGTCCTGCCCTGATTTGCCCTACTAAAATGCAGCACCTCACATTTATCTAGATTAAACTCCATCTGCCACTCCTCAGCCCATCGGCCCATCTGATCAAGGTCCCAGTGTACCCTGAGGTAATCTTCTTTGCTGTCCACTGCACCACTAATTTTAGTGTCATCTGCAAATTTACTAACCGTACCTCCTATATTTGCATCCAAATCCTTTGTATGGATGACAAAATGTAGTGGACCCAGCACCGATCCCTGTGGCATACCGCTGGTTACAGGCCTCCAATCTGACAGCAACCCTCCACCACCACCCTTTGTCTCCTGCCTTCTAGTCAATTTTGTACCCAAATGGCTAGTTCTCCCTGTATTCCAAGTGATCTAACATGGTTAACCAGTCTACCATGCAGAACCATGTTGAACGCCTTACTGAAGTCCATATAGACAATGTCTAGCACTGTGCCTTCATCAATCCTCTTCATCACTTCTTTAAAAATCTCAATCAAGTTAGTGAGACATGATTTCCCACACATAAAGCCATATTGACTATGCCTAATCAGTCCTTGGTTTTCCAAATACATGTAAATCCTGTTCCAACTAAAAAAACCCAAAGGCCTCACAAGCTGTTTACCTTATTAGCTTTCCAAATAGACAGCTTGATCCCTCTGTCTTACAACCTCTCTTTAAAATAAAAGGAGAAAATAACTTCTTAAAGCCATAGTATCGTCACACTACCTGTTCTCCTCTAAGCTACTCATCACCCTAAATTGGAAATATATTACCTTCCCTTGAGGGTGGCTGGATCAAAATTCTGGAACTTGCTTTCTAACAGCATTGTCGGTATACCTACACCAAATGGATAGCAGCAGTTCAAGAAGGTACCTGATCACTGCTTTATCCTGAGCAATTAATATTGGCCCAGCCAGCAAAACCCACAACGTGGAAATTGTTTTGTCTAGAAAAGTATTTTTTATCCTGAAAATTCATAATTTCAAGGCCTTCAGGTTCTATTCCTCATAAACTTGAAATCATCCTAAATTCTGTTGCTCAAGTGCTAATTAACACCAAGTCCCATTCACCCATCACCAGCATGATCGATGATTCATACTGGTTCCCAGTTAAGCAATGTTTCTGTTTAAAGATTTTCATCCTTATTTACAATTCCCTTCAAGGCCTCCCTATGTCTATAATCACCTCCAGCTGGACAATCCTCCACAAAATATGCACTTGCCTGTGTTTGGCCTCCTGAACATTCTTGATTATAAATTGTTTCACTAGTGTCAGCCACATCAACCACATCAGTTGCAGGGATTCAAAGCTCTAGAATTCCCTGTACCTCTCTTTTCTCCTTTAAAACGGTCTTGCAAACCTATCTTGCTGACCAAATGTATGGTTATCTATCTGCAGATCTCAATGTGTCAAATTTTGTTTTATGTCTCGACTATGAAGCACTTTGAAATGCTTTATTACATTAAAGGAATTTTATAAATAGATGTTGCTGTTCCTTTAAATTAGAAGGCATAGTAAATAATTCTGAGGATCAAAGGATACTGCAAGGGTAAGTTGATGAGATGCTGACACATGCAGAAAAAAGGCAATTGAAATTCAATGTTGTAAATGTGATGTGACGCATTTTGTGGAAAACAGTAATGGCAACAACTTTGAAAGAGATCACACTTTGGAAGGGCAAAGCTGAATGGCTTGTCAAAAAGAGAGATTTCAAGGCTGATTTTCATGGGTGTAATCGTGAGTGGGAAGAGAGGTTGCTAGGCAAACTTAATTTGCAGGGAGGCCAAGATTCACAATCTTGATGGCAGGACTTTTGCTATTAAGTTCCTGCAAACTTGAAGGTTGGTCGAACTCCCTGATGGCAAGCACCCAGAAAGCCTTTTTGCAACACATTTTTATCACATCAATGTTAATTAAAAGACCAGCTCACCCAGAATGAAGATTCCATTTGCACTGATGTTCTCTGCGAGTGAGCAATATATGCCTTCTGATTTCCAATTACATACACAAGACAAGCAGAGAGCAAGGTATCATATTTGCTGGATATTGGAATGAGTAGTAGCTGTTTTGTTTTCTTTGAGGAGTGTTCATTGATGCCATACCATGATTGAGATTGAGTGGCAGTCATCGAACTTGCACAGGGCGTGAAGGATGAATAAGGGAGGGAGGCTGGAGTGTTTTGGACATGGGTCAAGGAGATTGGCCTCGGCTGGAAAGCTATTTGTTCAAGGACAACTGGCATCCAGTCAGCGCCTGTGACGTTCCTAGCTTGGGAATGAATAGGTGAATGGATGCTGTTTAAATATGGTACCAGGACCTCCAACCTGGAAAGTACTGGAACAGGCAATGTCTTCCTTTCTGTCCTATCTCATAATTTGTCTAGTGATTCATGCCTTCATATGTAGTGAGCTGAGTTCGAGGTTGTGTGGAAAAGTTGACCCAACTCAAAGCTGGCACCACACACAATGTAAATACTCCACGCCAAGATACTTTTAAAACAGTACCACCAGTGTCATTAAATGCTAATGGAATATTGGATTATAGGGCAAAATGTAACTTTGAACCTGTATCAATAACACCACAGTTGAAATACCATGTACAATGCTGCTGAAGCCAGTTGGAACACTTTTTTCCTAACTGACATTAAATGGACTTTGATCAAATCAAGGATCTCACATCAGGCTATGAATAGCCTGCTGTTAGTTAACCTGTTTAGGTTTAGCATCAGAAATGAGGAATGGGCATTTGGACATGTTGATAAGGACAACCAGCTCCATTGAAGCCAGCAAGAAACAAATCTGCCAAAGGAGAAGGCAGAAAGTAAAAACAAAATAAAAACTCCTCATGCCAGAGATTGTGCAGGGATTTCACCTCCAGATTCACTTGGCGTAAGAGACCTCAACAGAAACAATCGCAAAATACTGTGTACACTGGAAATCTGAAATAAAAATCAGAAAATATTGGAAATATCCACGAAATAATGATGACAATTCTGGCAGCTTTGACTTTAAGTCATTGACCTGAAATGTGAACCTTTCTCTTTCCGCTGATGCCACCCTATCTGCTGAATATTACCAGCATTTTCAGTTCCTATTTTACAGGTACACACCATTTCACTTCTTTGTGATTGTGTGACTTATTTTCCGTCCTACAGTTGATTTTTATTTAAATAGAATACTTGTCTCAAGGATTGTGTTTCAAATCATTACGTTTGCATATATTTACGCTGTATTCTTGAATTCAATTTGTTTTTCTGAAAAAATGTTTTACATTGTAGTGTTTATTGTTAGATATTGCACAATGCCTTTTAGCTGCACCGCTCTTTTCCATTGTCTGCCGTTAACTGGACTGAAGAAATATTAACCACTACGTTATCACATCGCTATCACATAGTAATTCATCACAAAGATCCTTGCACAATGTATTCCCACAGATTTCTTCGAATAGCAGTGTGATTTGGTCATGCGGAATTAAAGTAGATTTAACTGAGGGCGAAGGCGTTTAATTTCTATGAACACAAAAACAGAAGTTGATAGAAAAACAATTATTTTTCGTTTATTTTTTATGCCATTTGCGCAATGTTCCAGGAGTCCAGTTCAGATCCGTGTCCAGATAGAGTGACAGCAGCAACCGCAGTGAACGCAGGAGATGCTCAACCAGAAGCGCCGTAAAATAGCTGCTCACCTTCAGCAACACCAAAGTGACTCGGCCTTTTTAATCAAACCTGTCACAATTAAACGACAAAAAAAATTGTTAACTGAACTGAGCAGTTAAACAGAACGTGAATTACCGTCCCCATTTATGAATGGGGAAACTTCACACACACCCCTGTGAAGACATTTAACATAAAAGGAGACCTGCGTATTGCTCGCAGCATCAAGAGAAGCTCAAAGAATGGAACCCCACCTCCTGCAACAATCTCTCTGCAACTGTGGAACTCCCGCTCGACCAAACCTCAACCCCGCCCATCCTTCCGCCTCGAGACGGAATCTGGGCACACGTTGAGGTGGGAACCGGCCGGTGCGCACCGCTGATTGGACTGGCGGGGACGTCAATCAAAGGAAGCAGGTTCGGTTGCGCCATGGGCGTGGATGTAACAATGTAGCGAACGCGCATGTCTTGAATTTCCTTACAAGGGGATTTGGAGGCAACGAATTTTTTGTTTGCTTTTGAAAAGAGCGATTGATTGTTGGGGGATATTCTTGGTGCATGTCTTAGCGTGGCGACCACGCGACCACTTTGTTGTCGCCTTTGCAGGGCAGTTTGTGAAGGATAATCCTTCTGGGGCTGGGGTTTTTTGGTTCATGTAAGCAGGTATTTTTCGGGAAGCTTGTCCAGTGTGTGTTAGTGTGCTACTTTCTCCATCCACCCTCCCTTTGTCCCTTTTTTCCGTTTTTGTTCTATGGCGACGCAAATCGATACTATTTATGGACTTTCAGAAGATGAAGTGAGTACAATTTATTTTACGATATACATTATTTCTGATTACAAGCGCGTAGAGTTTCCCTAACCTGTACTGTAGTGACATCAAGTAGAGAAAAGCCAGTGTCTGCTGCTGTGCTGTCAGTAGGACACGAGTGTTTGTTTCTTCTATTTATCTATCCTACTTTGTAAACACGAAACGTAAACAATTCTTTGGTGTTTAAACGTCTACTTTTGTACTGGATCTACAAAACCGTCCATTATTAGTTGTTGATGGGCAAGGTGAAGAACTTTGTTTTTCTTTTGAAGATTACACTTCCTTTGCTGTAGTTGAAAAAGGTGCAATTTATGAATTAAAGAAGAAACCGTGTTTTGCCCCGTTAATGACGCCGCGTAACTGTGCCTTTGGAACTTTTACAAAGTAATGGTTTGAGAGTTGTTTGGTGATGCACGTCTTTTCGGAAGTGGCAATTGTATAGTCACTGCAGTGAGTAGGATGCGTAGGATAACGTGAAGAAGGAATTGGGGTTATGGGCACAGAAGACTTTAGTTTTCCATTTCTATTTTATACCAAGGATTTTGTTACTTCAACCAGGGGATTTTAGCAGGAAATCACTTTTTTTTTTCATATTTTCCGAAGTCAACACTAAATCTGGAGTTGCTTGTAATTTGAGAGAAGATTGTACAAATTCAGGGCTTTTCCTTTCATGGAAAAATGTAAATATACTCTGCAAAAAAAAAGGGTTTTCTTTTATTTTATAATATTCTGACAAGACTGTTGATCCAACATGAGTGATTATGGGTGCTAAAGCGTGTGCAGTATTGTAAATTAGTTGTACGTGTGTGTACAGGCAATACATTAGATACTTGATGGAAGATATATTATGTATTTTTTAAAAACTGTTTAAACAATACTGGTATTAACTCCCGGTGTTCCTGTTTTATGGGAGCTGCATTATCTTCTATGCTTTGTTCATTTCTTAGGAGCCCAGATGTATGGTCACAATAAGATTCGTAGCCATGAGGTACCATTAAAGCTGGGTCAGAATTTGTTCTCGACAACAGAAAGTTTATGCATTTATGTAACCCTTCAATGTACTAAAGCATTTTAACATTCATTACGAGAATGCAATCAATCACAAATTAAAGCAAAGTCAGTGAAGGAGTTATCATGGCAAGTGTCTGGCTTTAAAATCCATCTCAAAGGGGGAGAGAAAGGTGGAGAAATTTCAGGAGGGAATTCTGAAGCTTCTAGCCTCAACAGCTGTAGTTCCATCAACCAGTAATACAGGGGATAGTATTAGCATAGATGAAGGACTGCTTAGCTAACAGAAAGTAGAGTATGGACACTGGTCTTTCTTGAATTGGCAAGCAATCACTATCAAATGCTGCAGTGATTGCCAAAATTTGGATGACCTAGCACCAGTCTACATCAATGATTCGGATCAGGAGACTGAGCATATGACACCTGCTTTTTTGATTGCACAAAGATAAGTAAAAAATAATTTTTGTCATGAGGAGGTAGAGAGTTTGCAAATGCATATTGATAGATTAAGCGAGTTGTCAAAAATTTGGCCAGTAGAGTGTAATGTGAGTAAATGTGAACTTGTCCACTTTGGCAGACAGAAAAGAAAAATGCTGCTATTCAAATAGAGTGAGATTGCAGAACGTAGTGGTACAGAGTTTTCTGGGCATCCTGGTACATGAACCTCCAAGTTAGTATATAGTTAGAATAATTGTTGAGGAAGACAAATTGCTGTTTATTGGAAGCGGATGGAATATAAAATAGGGAAGTTTTATTGCAGCTGTAAAGGTCGTTGGTGGGATGCATCTGGAGTCGTGTTAAGTTTTGATCTCTTTATTTAACATTGTTTTAGAATTGGTTGAGAGAAGGTTCACTGGACTCCGTCTTGAGACGAAAGGGTGATTAATTTATGTCTGTACACATTGGAATTTAGAGAATGAGAAGCAATTGTATTGAAACTTAAGATCTTGAGAGGACTGAACAGGCTACCCAGAGGATGTTTCCTGTTGTGAGGGAGACTCAAACCAGGGGACCAGGTTTAAGAAGAAGAGGTCCTTCATTTAAAACAAATGAGAAGAAATGCTTTTTCATGTGCCGTTAGAATATTTAATTGTCTTCCCCAGAAGATAGAGGCTCTGTATTTGAGGTGAAATTAGATCAATTGTTGTGGAATCCAAACAGGAAAGCAGAGCTGAGACTATAACTGTTTCAGTTGTGATCTTATTGAATGCTGGAACAGGCCCAAAGTGCCAGATGGCCTACTCCTGCCTCTAAGTTCAGTTAGGTATAGGAAGTTGGGGATGTGCAAGGCCGGATTTTGAAAATTTTTTTTTTGGTAGTTTGTCAGACTGGAGGTGTTTATGTGTAGACGAGGAAAGGTTTGATTATAAGACTGACTCACTGTAATTTGAGGCATTGATGGATGGGAGGTATTGTAGGTCACCGAACGCAAGGCTGCTTTGTGATTGGGACTTTGCATGTTAGAATATGAGTAGCCACCTTTTGAAGGAGCCTAATTTAGTGGAAAGGATGGAAACTGGTTCAGAGAGCACTGGAATAATGGAACAAAAACAGAAGATCTCAGCAGGTCTGGCAGCATCTGTGGAGAGAAATCAGACTTAACATTTCGAGTCCAGTGACCCTTTTTGAGAACTTAATTTAGGCTCTATCTGAACTGAGATAGTAGGAACTGCAGATGCTGGAAAATCTGAGGTAACAAGGTGTAGAGCTGGATGAACACAGCAGGCCAGGCAGCACCATAGGAGCAGGAAGGCTGACGTTTCGGTCCTAGAAATGGCATCACCTACATGTGACTCCAGACCCGTGGCAATGTGGTTGATTCTTAGTTGCCCTCTGAAATGGCCTAGCAAGCCATTCAATTGTACCAATCGCTACAAAGTCTCAAAGAAATGAAACCAGACGGATCACCTGACATTGACCTAGGCACCGGAAAAGACAACGGCAGAAACAGCCCTGTCGACCCTGCAAAGTCCTCCACATTAACATCTGGGGGCTAGTGCCAAAACTGGAAGAGCTGTCTCAAAGCCGAGATGAGGAACAGCCTAGCAACAGTCTGTAAGGTATGATTCTGTGAATGTGACTGTCTCAGACACCACCATCACCTTCCCTGGAATGTCCTGTCTCACTGGCAAGACAGACCCAGCAGAGGTGCCGGCAGAGTGGTGTACAGTTGAGAGGGAGTTGCCCTGGGAGTACTCAACATTAATTCCGAGCCCCATGAAGTCTCAGGGCTTCAGGTTAAACGTGGGCAAGGAAACCTGCTGATTACCACATACCGTTCTCCCTTATCTGATGAATCAGTCCTCCTCCATGTTGAACAGCTCTTGGAGGAAGCACTGAGGATGGCAAGGGCACAAAATGTACGCACGGTGGGGGATTTCAATGTCCACCACCAAGAGTGGCTCGGCAGCAGTACTACTGATTGAGCTGGTCAGATCCTAAAGGCCATAGCTCCTGGACTGGATCTGCGGCAGGTGGTGAGGGAACCAACAAGAGGGAAAAGCATACTTGACCTCATCCTTAGCAGTCTGCCAGCTGCAGTTGCATCTGTTCATGTCAATATCAGTAACAGCGACCACCACATAGTCCTTGTGGCGACTAAGTCCTGCCTTCACATGGAGAATAACCTTTGTGTTGTGTGGCACTATCATCATGCTAAACGGGACAGACATCGAACAGATCTAGCAACTCCAGACTGGGCAACCATGAGGCACTGTGGGCCATCAACAGCAGCAGAATTGTACTCCAACACGATATGTAACCTCATGGCTCGGCATATTCCCCACTCAACCATTACCATCAAGCCAGGGAATCCACTGTGGATCTATGGAGAATGCAGGAGGGCATGCCAGGAGCAGTACCAGGCATACCTGAAGCTGAGGTATCAACCAGGCATACCTGAAGCTGAGGTGAAGCCACCAAACAGGACTACTTGCACACCAAACAGCAAAAGCAGCAAGTGATGACAGAGGTAAGTGATTCTACAAACAATGGATCAAATCTAAGCTCTGGTGGACAATTAAATAACTCACTGGAGGAGGAGGCTCCACAAATATGACCATCCTCAAAGATGGAAGAACCCAGCACATCAGTGCAAAAGACAAGGCTAAAGCATTTGCAGCAATCTTCAGCCAGAAGTGCCGAGTGGATGATCCATCTTGGCCTCTTCCAGTGGTCCCCAGCATTACAGGTACCAGTCTTCAACCAATTCAATTCATTCCACGTGATATCAAGAAATGGTTGGAGGTACTTGATACTGCAAAGGCTATGGGCCCTGACAACATTCCGGCAATTGTACTGAAGACTTGTGCTCCAGAACTTGCCACTCCCGTAGCCAAACTGTTCCAGTACAGTTAGAACACTGGCATCTACCGAACAATGTTGAAAATTACCCAAGTCTGTCCTGTACAAGAAAAGCAGGACAAATCCAACCCGGCCAATTACTGCCCCATCAATCTACTCTTAATCATCAGTAAAGTGATGGAAGATGTCGTCAACAGTGCTATCAGCACTTGCTCAGCAAAACCTGCTCAGTGATGCCCAGTTTGGATTCTGCCAGGGCAACTCAGCTCCTGACCTCATTACAGCCTTGGTTCAAACATGAGACGAGAGTTAAATTCCAGAGGTGAGATGAGAGTGACAGCCCTTGATATCAAGGTTGCATTCGACAGAATGTGACATCAAGGACCCCTAGCAAAACTGCAATCAATGGGTATCGGGGGGAAAACTCTCCGGTGGTTGGAGCCAAACCTGACACATAAGAAGGAAGGTTGTAAGTCAGTAATCTCAGCTCCAGGACATCTCTGCAGGAGTTCCTCAGGGTAGTGTTCTTGGCCCAACCATCTTCAGCTGCTTCATCAATGACCTTCCCTCCATCATAAGGTCAGAAGTGGGGATGCTCGCCGATGATTGCACAGTGTTCAGCACCATTCAAGACTCCTTAGACACTGAAGTAGTTTGTGTCCAAATGCAGCAAGATC